AGCAAGCATGCACATAAATATTTTAGTCCATAAAAACCAGCCTTGTAAAGTGAGGTTAAATGGGAAGCTCTAAGGATATGTATTTTGATATTGCATCTCCTCTATTTTCAAAATAGCCATCAAAATGATAATATTCAGGCTTTGCTATGCCTAAGATAAGATTTGTGCCTTCAGTTTTAGTCTCTAAAATATTTTTAAAAGCAATTATGCTTCATATATGCATATATATATGTCATCACTAAAACTCCCCTGCAGCCCTCAAGTACAATTAACTTATTAATTATTAATTAATAATAATTATAATTAACTTATTAGTTCATTAACTAGCATCCTTTTTATACTTCTGTCAAGGTTACTTATGGGGGCATGGGGGAGGAAGGGGTTAATATGTGGATACATTTTTGGATGCCACAAATAAATATAAGGTGTTTGAATTTCCTATGTCTTATATTTCACAACAGGGATCTAAAGTCAGTCAATCACTTAGAGATGTTGGTGATCGATATCTTGCTTAAGTTCACAGAGGATTGTGGTCCTTTAGAACTGAAGTAAAAACAGAATCCTGAATCATCAATCTCTTAATTGTTCTTCCCTATTGTGAACCTTGTAATTATACCCATCATCACAGTCTAAGTAGATGGGTTTATGTCTATGTACACTGTGACGGTACAAATGAGCTAAGAAACAGCAACCATTATTTTCATAAGGACAGAGACTGGACCTGTGATGTGACTGGCACAGAGACCTCCAGGGTAACAAAACTTTCTCTGTCATTTATGGTCTTAGAAGGGTGCCTAGAGGTTAAATGACTTGTCCTGGGTCACACAACCAGGAGGTGTCAGAGACAGGACGTGAATCTAGGTCTTCCCAGCTTCCAAGGCCGCTTTCTATCCATTACCCCACATTGCCTTTTATTCATTTTTACAATTTAAGATAATTAGGAGTGAAAAAAAGTTATTTTTCTTGTGATATAAGGGCCTACCAAATGAGTGACCATGTTTTGTGAACCAAAAGTTGCTATGTATGGTCTGACAAAAGATACTAGTGCAGGGTCAGCATGCTGGATCTGAAGTCGGAGGACCTGAGCTAGAAGCCTGACCTTGTCATGTGATCGTAGCCAAATCATTTAATCTCTTTGGGCCCTCAGCTTCCTTGTAGGTAAAATGAGGGTGTTGAAACAGATGGCTTCTGAGGTCCCTTCCAGATCCATGCCTATGCTCTTTCGATCATGACTTCTTTAAATGGCACTGGGCATACTCAACAGATAAACGTGACTGATGTCTTCATGTGCTCTCAAAGAGAAAGTCATTTAATATTGGCCTAGCCCAGGTGGCCTCACTCCTAGCTCCTTGCTCTCCCTTCCACAGTCCATTTCCTCTGTTTAGATGGCAAAGACAAACTCAAGAACAGAAAACAGTCTCCTGATTTCACAACTTTCATATGAGGGGACAAAAGAATGCTGCTTTGTTTGATCAGGAGTCCACAGTACATTATTTTGTCTTGACAAAGACATTTGAAATCAATACAAAATCACAATATTAGGAAATCTGGTAATCATTATTTCAAAATGGCAAACTCTCTTTTTCATGGGGAAATCTTCAGTTAGTTTTTCTCATACCAGCGGTTCAATTGAAAGATTCACCAACTGTTCCCCAGAGAAAACGGAAGATCTGCATTTAAATGGAGATATAGTATTTCCAAATGCACATAGTACCTAGAAGGCAGATACTGTCAAGGTTTCTTAGTGAGAGATCTCTAATTGTATTAGGTACATTTCAATGCTATGCCATTCTATAGGACTGGGGCTATTTCCATATCATTTCCCCGCTCTGTTCACAGTTTGTAAGATTTGTCCTGATAGGTTAAAATTAAACCTTGCTCTCTACTGACAAGAGGGCCCTCACACTAACAACAAGCAATTACTACCTTATATATAATTTCTGATGTGCACTGAGAAAGACCACACTAGATTCTCTGGCCAGAGATGCTAAATAATTGAAAAGCATAATGACTTAATAGAGTAGTAAGCTTGGTTTACAATGCAGCCAATTTAGAACCATAAAAATACTGTGTAAAAATTTTATCTCGTGGTTGACCATTACATATCCTATCTATTATTCAAAAATATTTCAATAGTGTTTTTCTTCATTAATGTGGCTTCTGGCATTTCCCTCAAAAAATTCTTGTCCTCCTACTTTTCCAAACATTTAAAAACAAGATCCTGAAAAATCCTGTATTTATGACTCATACGTCACTCATTGGGCTAATGAGGTTTTCCGTGTTTAGCTGAAACCAATTTCATAGGTCATCTGCACAGCACACAAAACCTCCTGAGTTATGATTTGTTGTAAGCCTAATAGAGTCAAACACCTAAGGCAGAGGAGGAAAAAAGGCCACTGTAGCTACTCCTGCTTAGTATATCTGTAAACACCAGAAGAGACTTATAAATAATTTCTTTCTTTTGACACACAAATCTAAGGACGAGTCTCTTTTAGAAAATTCCATGACGCTTCAGGAAAGTTTTGCCCGGAGTGTGCAGTTAAGGTACATATAGTGTCTACAGAAAGGAGAGAGAGTGAGAGAGAGAGAGAGAGAGAGAGAGAGAGAGAGAGAGAGAGAGAAAGAGAGATCAATTTCAAACCCAAGCCCATTAGTTCTGCAAGGCTGTTGCCAAAATTCTGGTCACAACTGAAATGTCCCCATGAACAAGGTTACTGAGTACAATCCAAGATCTCCCCTCAGCACCACCTTCCCTAGGAGCTCTTCAGCTGGCTACTGAGTTTGTTAGAGCTTATCTTGCTTGCACTGCCATTCTTATGCTGATTCAAATTCAGAAATCAAAATGAAAAATGAAATATCTTGAAGATCACTTAATATTGAAATACTGTTGCAGTAATAAGTGGTGCTCAGTTGGAGATAGGGGTATGGTACTCTAGTGGTAACCTTTTAATTTCTGAAAAATTGTATAGCATAAATTGAGTCCTGCACACATGGAAACCTAACTGATGAGTCTGCTCTATTTTGTTTAAGCAGCACCCATCAGAAAGCTTTCTTCTTCCTTATATATTTAAACTGTACAGTTCCCTTAAAGAAGGCCTGTCAGATTTCTGTATATAATATGCATAAAGAATTAGATGCCATACTGATACATTAAAGACAAGGAACAGTCATTTAACTAGATAAATCACTTCACAACATGCCAGGCCTGTGGATATTTCCATGGGCACTATAATACTATTCTCAAAAGCATATTTTCAATATTATAGAATATGACATAAAGATAAGAATTTTAACTGAAGTTAACAAAATTAAGCACCAGAGGCAAATTTTTTTTCCACAAAATCTGGGCAACCAAACTGTCTTTTACCAAAATATGGCACTTTTCATATTTGAAGAAAAAGGAAAAACTCTTCAAAGCCTTCTCATTTCCATTATTCCTGCCCAACTAGCAACTATTCCCCCTCTTCCCCAGCTCTAATTTGAGAAGTGTTCAAATTTCCCTTTCACATACTGTGCAAACCCTTTCTTGGGTAGGTGAACCTACTCTGATAACATCTTATCTACAGGGCAAAAAACAAAGCATAAATGACCCTGGAACTCTTCCCCAATACTTTTCCTCTCCCTTTTTCATTAGAATTTTCCTTCCTTTTTGTTTCCTGATTCTTCTGAATTTAGATGTTACACACACACACACACACACACACACACACACTTCTCATTGGGTCTTTGGATAGCCTGAGGTTAAAAAAATGTTTTCAATGTAAGAAAATAACTTAGTTGCCCTTATGACAGATGGAAATATCTTTAGGTCTCTTCTCTTGACTTAAAGTATTAAGGAGTGTTTTAAAGTAGCAGACAGGTAACTAACTGCCTCTCATAGCACACCCTGGGAAAGTGAAATTTACCACCTTTTTTAAAAAAAAGGGGGGGGGAATGAACAAGGTGAGACTTTCCCACATTGCCCTCTCTAGTCTGTGTTTGCAAAATCATTGGTTTTCTGTGTGTGTCTGTGTCTTATTGCACGGCCACTGATTCTACAACACAAACACAGCAAACGTGCTTCCCTAGCTAAGCAGACCCATGTGGCAAGTCACAACATAACCGAAGCAAGCACAATAAATACATACATACATAATAATTCCACAACACTGAGGCAAGCGGGGGGGTTTCACCAGGCCCATTTGACTCTTCCTGAATTGGTCATTAAGATTCTGAAAGAGGAGGGGGGGAGGGAAGGGATGGCGGGAAGGGAAGCGGGGGGAGCTTTGCCCTCAGCGTCCCTGGGAACCTCTAGGAGCCCCAACACGGCTGGTTGGACCCTCCCGGGCGTTCTGACAGACTCTGGCAGGGGGTGGGGAACAAGGGGAATGAGGAGCTAGTTCCAGCGGCGGCCGAGTGATCCGCTGAACTTCAGTGATCCCCCTGGAAGGGGAGGGCTTGGGGAGGGGGTGGGGGAAAGGACGAGAAGGAGACACTTAGGACAACAGCAGTAGCAATCACGAGAAAGCTGCATCCACATTCGGGGACAGCAGTTTTCAAGTCACGACATCACCATTTCCCCCCAAACATCCCACCACCTCCGCCACTGCCAAGAAGAAAAGAAGCCCAGGTCCCGTAGCCTTAACTCTGTCCCTTACTCCTTGCCACTTTCAAGTCTCTCTTTGGGAAGGGGGAGGGGGAGGGGGTTAAAGAACATATCTAGATGGAATTAGGATTTCTCTTTCACTCTCACACACTCACACACACACATACACACACAGGTTCGCAATCACGGCAAGTCTACAAGAGGTGGGTGGAAGGTTTGGTTGTGTTATTGAAAGGGTGGGTGCTTTTTTTTTAAGGGACTCTAAGCAAGTGAAATTGACAAGGTCTGAAGGTGGTAGGGGGGAGGGGGTGAAGAGCAAGGGAGATTTCAAACCGGGATTTCAAATAAAGAACGCCCCCCATATGCAAAATGTCTTGTCTCCAGATGTTGATGAGAAGGGTTTGGACCAGTTTACCTTGGCAGGGTCAGAACTGCAGCAGGTTAATCAGGTGAGTCGTCAGGGGTTGGGGTTTTTTCTTTTTCTTTTTCTTTCTTTTTTTTTTTTTTAAAGAAGCCGAAGCCGGTTTCTTAGGCTATGAAAGTCTACACCCCCCCCCCCCCAAACCCCCATGCAGGAACCTTGCACATCTTACACACGCCTCCTTTAAGTGGGCTCCCGCGACCTCAGCCGGCGAGGGGGTGCTGGCCGGCCGGCGTCCAGGGCGGACAGCGCCGGCCGCTCTGCCCACACGGGCGCTCGGCCGGCCTGGCAGCTCGGGGCTGGGTCCCGAGCGGCGCCGCACTCACCGGTCGGGGCTGCGAGGGGCCGAGAGGCGCCGGCCGCTAGCCCGAGCTCGGAGGCGCCTCCCTTTTCTCTTGGTAGCGTCGGTCCGCACTCCCTGTGACCCGGGACGTCATGATGCCTGTCTGTTTTCTCAATGATAACTTGGCAGAAGAAGAGAGAAGCTGCCAGGTTCTCCTCGGCTGCCTACGTGGTATGTGCACGTTTCTGTTTGCATGGATTTCTTGCTTTCTTTTGGAAAAATAAATAAATAAATAAATATAGACATACATTTCTTCTCCCCCCCCGAAAAAAAAAATTCCAGCACGGTCATCATTTGATTGCATTACCGTCTTTGCATAATTGACGTCTGTGTGTGTTTGTGTGTGTTTGTGTGTGTGTGTGTGTGTGTGTGTGTGTGTGTGTGTGTGTATGGATGTGCGGGTAGTGTTTTATTTTTTGTTTTTTATTTTTTGTTTTTTTTCCCTCTTTAAATCCTGCTGCCGCTGCCGCCGCTGCAAACAGAAAGCAAGCATGCGTTCATCTTTTGTCTTTCATTTTACCTTCAGGGTGACATTCAATGCCCATCGCTCTCTTTGACCATCCCCAGCCCCACCAGGGGCAAATAAAGAGCCCGAGTAGGAGGGGAATAGGGGAGAGGGGGGAATTCCCCCCCCACTGCGGCCCAGATGCTACCTCAGACCCTGTTTATTAGGGAGCACAGACCCACCCCAACTTCTTTACCCCCAGCCCTCCAGCCAAAAAGAAAATCCATTTTCTCTTCTACCCACCGGGCCCAAGCAGAGAAACAGCACCCAAAACGGCCGACTTGCATCCGCACGGTGTCTCCCCTAATGTTCTTGGCTTGCGCTTGTTGACTTGTCTCTGTAGCAGACCCCAGTGTGTAGGCCTCTCACAATTGAGGCTATTTTTGTCTCAGAAATGTTCTTTAAAACCCTTTTAGAAAATAGGGGAAAGGAGGGGGAGATGGAGAATACTGAGGGGGAAGAAAAAAAAAAAGAATTCAACCCTCTGTGGAGGGTATCCATTGGCACATCGTGAAATTTAGGGAGCTGCTGGGATGTAGCCCAGTGGGGAAGATCACTAATCGTTCAGGTTATTTCATACTAGAAAAATAGCTGTGTAAGAAAAAAAGACTCACTGTAATTACCCATGACCATACATGGGCAATTGTGATATTTATTATATATTATCATGATTGTTATAATCAGGTTTTATATAATAAGATGGCAAGGCCTTGAGTATAAATAAACCTAGTGTTTGCTCCTAGGAACATGGGGAAAGTGATGGCAAGGCCACATGGTAGAAATAACATATACTATTTTATTATCCTTAGGACTTTTAGTTAGGGCCAAGGATCAAAGAATCAAAGATTGAACACTAGAAGGCACTTTGGTGGTCACCCAGCCCAACCTCCTCATTTTACAGAGGCAAAAACTGAGGCCTTCAGGAGGTGACTTAACTTGTTCAAGGTCACAACAGGCAGTAAGTGGCAGGGTCAGGATCTGAATCCAGGTCTTCCGACTTCATATCCCTAGTCTTTTTCACTTGTGCAGCTCTATAAGCTATATTGTGCTTCTACACTCTGTACATTTATGCTAAATAAAACACATACTGTATTAGCAAAAACAACTATTTGGTGCTTTGTGCTGTTAAAAAAAAATTCTTACCTCCATTGCAACTTGTCTATTATAGGAAGTAGAATGGATTTAAGGATTTTCTTCTCCATAGTCTAATATTCCAGACCCTAAAAACCATCCAAGAACTATCCCTGCTGAGTCCAACTCCCCAAAAAGATTCCAGCCGGAACAGAGGTCTCAAAAATAAGCCATGTAGGAGAGCATTGTCTCTGAAAGGCAAAGCTGATTCGGGTAGAAACTTCTGAATTGTTTCCAAGCTAATATACATCTCTTGTAGATTTAAAAATAGTTTACCTATTTGAGAGTTTGGATAAGTTTAATGAAAATAACAAAAGTAACTTGCTAGGTCTTTCCTCTATAAAATCACAGCCCAAGAAACACTACAGGGAATATTTGGCAATTATGCAGGTACTAGAGTATTCAGTTGGAGAAGCGCCACGTCTGAAAGTACCTATAGGGAAAAGTTTGCTGACTGTGACCCACTAGCTAGATAAAGGGACTTAAAAGGCTGTGCCTTTCAGCCTTTTTTATTTTTTTTTAAAATGGTTCAACTTAGGTCCTCTGTGCTTCACAAAGGATGTTAGTTCAGATTTATAGGATGCTCTGATTTTCCCAGCATCTTAAAAAGGGCAAGGACCCCTTTCCAAATGTGGTAGCCAACTTTTCAGCTTAAAAAAATAAATAAATAGCATTATTCAAGTGAAATATTCACAAACTAGTTTGGGAGCATTTAGAAAGGATCACTCTGGGCTATCACAGGTTCTTTAACAAGAAGTCATGCTAGACCAACCTCATTTCCTTGTGATCAGGGTTTCTAGACTGGCAGATCAGAGAAACAGCTTGGTATGTACCTGGATTTTTAGCAAGTGTCTCATGATCATCTTGAGGACAAGATGGGGAGATGTGAGTTCGATTTTAATGTTAACTGGGTGGATTTGGAACTGATTGAATTGGACCCGAAGAGTGCTAGTGAACAGATCAAGGTCAAACAGCAGAGAGATTGCCAGTGGCACGCTTTCCTGGGGCTCTGTTTTCTTCAACCTTTTTTTTAATCAGTGACTTGTATGAAGACACAGATGACATGTTTGCTAAATTTTTTGAATACACAGAACTAGGAGGGAGTTAATAGACAATTAGTGCAGCCTAGATCTAAAATTATTTTAAAGGGCTATAAACAATGGATCAATCTAACAAGAAAAGTTAATAGCAATAAATGGAAATATCAGTACTATGATTCGAAAAGTCAGTTATGTAAGCGTAAGCTAGGTGGCACAGTAGATAGAGATTGAGGCCTGTCATCAGGAACACTCATCTTCCTGAGTTCAAACATGGCCTCATATGCTTACTAGCTGTGTGACCCTGGGCAAGTCAAACCCTGTTTGCTTCCGTTCCTCATCTGTAAAATGAGCTGGAAAAGGAAATGGTAAGCCACTCCAGTATCTTTACCAAGAAAGCACCAAATGGGATCATAAAATGTTGGACACAACTGAACAACAATAATACCATTTAGGGGGGAGAAAAGATAGTGTGAAAAATACTTGGGGGTTTTAGTGGACTGCAAGCTCAAAAAAGTCAACACAGGGATGTCAAAACAAAAAAAAAAAAAACCTAGTATGACCTTAGACTACTTTAATAAAGACACTGTTCAAAACAAATGAAGTTATAATCCCACCATACTTTTGTCCAGGACAGACTAACCATATTTTGGAATATTTTGGTCAATTCTGGCTGCCATATTTATAATAAACTAGAGAGTATCATAAGGAGGGGACCGGTATGGTGAGAAGACAAGAGACTAAGTAAATAGAAGGAGGTGGGGATGTTTAAACTGGACAAGAAAAGACAGGTAGTGGAGGGGCGTGAATGCTATCTTTAACTATTGAAGGCCTGTCAGTTGGGGAGGAATTTGACTCATTTTGTGTCAGTGAAGAACTAGGACCATTGTGGAAGGAGGCAGATATCAGTTCAATAAAAGGAGCAAAGTGTTTTGGATGGAGAGCTTGCCCCAGAATCAGGAAGAATTGACTTCAAATTCTGCCTGTGACACATATTAACTGTGTGCCCCTGGTTAAGTCACTTAGCCACTCAGTGCCCCAGGAAACTCTTTAAGACTATAAATTGTAGAACAGATGCCTTGATAGAGAAAGTTTCTCACCTAGGACTCCCTACATATCCTTACACAGGTTTGATCAAAAAATAAAATAAGAAGGTTAATTTACAGTTGTCCAAAGTGGAATAGGTTATCAAGAGAATAGTAGTCAGTTTTCCCTTCACTGGTGATATTCAAGCAGAGACCAGGAGACCACTTTTGGGGAATATTCTAGAAGAAATTTATGTTTCAGCTAAAGATTGTCCTGGATGACCATGAAAGGCATGTCCTGTTCTGAGATACTATGAGCTACCAACCTAGTTCTCCATCTGTTCTACCTACTGATATTATAGCTTAAAGAAATTCTGAAAAGCCTGTATAGTCCTAAATTTGACCCAGCTTTTTATCTGGTTGCAAATCCTATTTCATTTCTCCCAAAACTATTTGTCTTAAATCTAAACCTCATTACACCAGCATAGCACCCAGGTGGTTACAGACTAATTGAGGAGAGAATGTCCAAAAGGTTGTTAAAGAGATGTAATAATCCCTATTTTCTTACATAAGTTGCTTTTTTAAAAATTATATTCTGGTCTTGCCTTTCTTCTCCCATTTACCCCATATTGGAATTTTTAAGCCCATAGCAAGACACATGTCACTCTTATACTTAAGAATCTACAGTGGCTCTTTATTAACAAGTAAAGGCCTATGTCTGTATTTGTTTTGCATATTTTCAGCTTTGTTGGAGGCTTCTGGGAAGGGTTTTTAGAAATTAGAAAAAATTAAGGACATGAAATTCCAATTCCAATTATTGCTCAGATTAGATCAAAAGGGAAAATTAACCTATTAAAATACATGCAAGGACAAATTTTTTTTGTTATTCGCACATTTCTGGTGATAAGTAAGTGATAGAAGAGAATAGCAACAGCCTAACAAATTATAGTACCATTTATTTAAAGCCATAAACCCTTTATTAAGCACCTACTGTGCACATAGGACTATTCCAGGCTCTGAG